TGACCATTTAAAGTTACAATGGCACTGAAAAAAGTGCCATTGTAACTTTAAATGGTCATTCCACACAAGCAAAGTACCAGCAAAGGAAGGGTAAAAAACTCCAGAGATGTTCCTGAGACAGGAAGTCTAGTCTTGCCAAGAATGTAATAAGGGTTAACGGAGAGGCAGTTTCTGTAAGCAACACCAGAATGTTTCCTTCCTGCCTTCCTTACAGAATTAGGCCAGTAATTTCTTCTACAACTGGTTTTCCGAACTGCTTAGAATGTTAATAACCGGTTCTAGCAAATAGGTGCAAACCTGTAGAATCCCACCCTTGCTCCAAACGCAATTCCTGCTTTGGTTAACGCTCAAACACTGCAGAAAAAATATCCCACGAGTCATCTAGACTGTTTAAAATTAGCAGCACTTTCTGAGATTCAGGAATCTGCATTCCACGCTGTTCTAACTCCATAGACAACCTTCGCATGTTCACTTAATGTGCTCAACAGATTCTCCTGGTTGCAAACTGGCTCTGTATAACTTTCTTGATAATTGCATAATATTACATGCTGACACACTCACATGTACAGTCCTTAATTTCTGCCAGACTTCCTTTGTAGTTTTTTAAATCAGCTACATTGATAAACTGTTCATCTTGTAAACTTAATATGATATAAGCCATTGCTTTATCATGCTGCCTCTGATCTGCAGCAGTTAAGCACGCTTGGGATGGGTTTTCCACAATATTCCACAGTTTCTTAGCTTTTATTTTTATTTTATTTTATTTATTTTATCAAGCAATTATAAGATAACAGGTATAAGTATAAACATAGTTATGAATACATGAAATGGATACATATAAGAAAAATAAAAAGAAACAATAGGACAGGGACGGTAGGCACATTGGTGCACTTATGCACACCCCCTACAGACTTCTTAGGAAAGGGGTGAGGTCAATAGTAGACAGTCTAATCAAGTTTCAATCCAAGTGCAATCAAGTTTGGTATGGTTTACCTTGAGTTTGTATCTATTGTATGCTCTTGTATGGTTATGGTTGAAGCTGAAGTATTCATCGACAGGTAGTACATTGCAATGTATAATTTTATATACTATATTTCGATTGGACCAAAGGCATCGTAGTTGTAGGTTGTCTAGGTCTAAAATTTCAAGTCTGGTGGCATAAGGTATTCTGCAATGAGTAGAGGAGCGGAGAACTCTTCTTGTGAAATATTTCTGGACTTTCTCAACTGCATTAATACCAGATACGTAATGTGGGTTCCAGACTGATGAGCTGTATTCAAGTATTGGTCTAGCAAATGTTTTGTATGCTCTAGTTAGTAGTGTGATATTACCAGAGAAAAGGCTACATAGGATTAGGTTAACAACTCTTAATGCTTTTTTAGCTATGTAGTTACAGTGGGCTCTAGCACTTAGATCATTGGAGATGAGTACCCCAAGGTCCTTGACAGAGTTTGGATCATCTACAAGGTCTTGACTATTCAGCTTGTATTTTATTTTCTGATTTTTTTTTGCCAATATGTAAGACAGAGCATTTATTTGTTGAGATTTGAAGTTGCCATTTGTTTGACCATTCTGATACATAGTCGAGTCTTTTTGAAGGGTAGTGATATTGTCAGTGGTATTGAATAGCTTTACATCATCGGTGAAGAAAACGCAGTTGCTCTTAATATGATCACAGAGGTCATTTATGTAGAGTATGAAGAGAGTTGGTCCTAGAACACTGCCTTAAGGTACAGAATTTGATAGGATGCTCCCAATTTTGACCATTTGTTGTCTGTTTGACAGGAATGCTTCTATCCAGTTATGTAGGTGTCCAGAGATACCATAAGATTTTAGTTTTAGTAGTAGTTTGTCGTGTACCACTGAATCAAAGGCTTTACAGAAGTCTATGTAAATTGAGCTATTCCGATCATGCGTTCCCATGCCCCTTCCATGTGGGATGTATGGGCAGGTTTAGATATCCATACACAATTGTGAGCTTTAAGATAGCCATCAATTGGCGAGTTAGGGCGAATGCCTTCCTCAATCTGTAATTCTTTACAAGCCCCTACAAAGTTCGTTCCACGGTCAGATCTGAATACCTTGACTGGGCCTCTGCAGGCTTGAAACCTTCTTTGGGGTTTGATGAAGCAAGAGGTGTCCATAGATTCGATGACTTTGATATGGACAACTCAGATGCTGAGGCATGTGAAAAGCACTCCCCATCTCCACAGCCCAAATAATATGATTCTTCTGACCCAAAAGAAGCAGAGAGGTCTCCTTAATTTTCTCAGCCATCCTGCAAAGCTTTCTCTCTGCCTTGTTTCTCCTTTTAAACACAGACAGTCTCTCTCAGCTTAAATTACAATTCAGTCTTTTTCTGGGTTCTGGTTCTGGCTGGGCCCATAACCTGTGAGAGTTTACAGCAGAATTCAAGTCCAGAAAACACACAGATGATTGATTTAGCAGGATTCTTTAACTTCTTTATATACATAAATAATATGAAATAAAGTTTACAATACCATTAGTAGTTTCTTCCACCGTAACAAGCAAAACACAAATAGCAGCTCAGGTGGCTCAGAACAGATTACTTGTTTCACTTTCAGAATTGAGAGCAACTGAGTTAGTTTCACTTCAGTGCTAAGAACATGGAGCTAAGCCACGCCTTCAATTCAGCTCCCATTAGCTGACTTTGTTAATTATGTCTCTGCCAGTTCATGTATACTCTGACAATGTCGTGTGTCCCCTCTCCTAAGGAAGTACATCTATTGGGATCAGGAAGAAGAGCCTTCTCTGTTATGGCTTCTTCTCTGTTATGACACCATCCCTGCAGAAATGAATTGCCCCCACTCTTTTGCAAGGCCCTGAAGACCTGGTTTTTGCCAATAGGCCTGGGAAACCCAGAGTGGGATGGAGCCCATCAAGTGGCTTGTTTTATTAACTGTTATTGCCAGGAGGGTGAGTTGGGGTATTGCTTTTTATTGTTGTATACTAGGTTTTTATTTTTGTAATCCATTCAGTGTCACTAAGAATAAGTGGCCATATAATTTTTTAAAAAGAAATAAATCTCTTGCAGATCTTAAATGCTTAAGGATGTTTGAAACAGAACTATTCCTTCAAATAGTGAAGCTTTAGGCTCCTGTGCCTCATATGAAATGGCAACCAATATAGGCCCTTCAACAACAACTGGTTACTTTTTAAGAATAAATAAATGAGTTTGTATATGAATATCCTTAGGCATATATGTAAAAATTAGGGATATTCCTGCCATAAGTGAAGATTTAATGAAACCAACCTGCAGTGCCTGAGACTTATGGAGAACATGTTGCATAGAATACTTTGTAAGCCTTTCTTCTTTAAAGGGTGATGGCCACATTTGGAAACTTTTCTCACAGCTAGAGACATTCTCCCCACCACCCAAAGAAAAAAAAGCCCAAAATCAAGTTTCAGGTAATCCTCAAAATACAAACAGTGGTTTAACAACAGTTCACAATCACTATGACCTTGGAATGGGTGCTTTCCAGCCTCTAAATCATTTCTGGGCATTTTGTATCAGCCACCCTGGTTACAGGACCACATTTTGAGCACTTGGCCACCTATTCACATTGATGGCTAGCTACAGCACCAAGTCCCCTGTGATCAAAGGATCACCATTTGCAATCTTCTCTGCTCCTTTTCCAAAAAGTCAATGGCTAAACTTGCAAGGAAGATTGCAAGTGCACCTTACCCAACATGTAAATGTTAAATAGTAGGCAAGAAAAGAAAACTAAACTCTGATGCAACCCCCCCCCCCATAATAGGGGCCATAGCGGGATCTCTCACCTTCTATTAACAGTAACTGCAATTGACCCCAGACAAAGGAGGAAAAGCAGGACATTTTAGTGTTGGTCAGGAAGGAAAGAAGTTTGGGACAAAATTTATTTTGGCAGCCCTGAATATTCCAATATTATAGTTGGAACTCCTGCTTGCAAGCATTGGCAGCCTGAATTGCCAATTTGTTTAGCTCAGTAATATTACATTAATTGCTGTTAGGTTTGGGATTCTAACATCTCCAGTCGGCATCTCCAAGTAGGTACCAAGTGACAATCTTAGGGGTGGAGAATGCTGCTGGGTGCATCTCTTCCTTGTCTCTCTCCCTCGCTCTTTTGGCATTAGTGCTGTACATTAGGAGATGGTGTGAAGTCATTAGTAAGAACTGCCAACAGGAGAGATTTGAAGGCAGAAAATTGCTGGCTCAGAAAAGCTTATATCCCACAAAGGGAGATTGCTGCTGTTAGAAGTGGAAGGGGCTGCTGCTGCTTCTGCTGCTTGAAGATTTCTCGGCAATTCCATCATGACAGAACCCAGCAACCGAAAGGAAGGATTTAAAAAATGCAGGAGTGCCACTTTCAGCATTGATGGCTACAGCTTTACCATTGGTGAGCCCTTTGGTGGTAGGATGTGTATTTTAGCAATCCTTTGGGTTCTCAAATCAAAAGCTGAGATTCAGGGAGGGGTGTGTGTATGTTGAAGTTTCCCGCCTTTTGATTAAGACAGCTGTCCTGGAACTTTTGCTTTGCTTACCCTCTATTAATGCTTTGTTTCTTTTGTTTTATGGAGGTAATGTGCCTTTCTGAAATACCATGGAGTTTCTTTTTGGTAGGGCTTCACTTTTGTTACCTTATCTCAGGAAAGCTTGTGTTTTTTTAGCATGACATGTTTCCAAGTTCTCTGTTGTTTTCCTGTCCAACAAGCTCAGTAAAGCAGAAGCCTTCAGTATGCCCCAAAGTTGTTTGCTTCTCTTTCTGGAGAGTTCACAAAGCATCTAAGCACACAATCCCTTCCAATTTCACATTTTGAACCAAACCCTTTCTGAAATTGCCCCTAGAATGTGTGAAGAGGTTAAAAAGAAAAAAGAAAAGGAAGGGAAGAGGAAAGACTTGCTGAAAACAGTATTACTTCTTTGAAGGTTGATGCTCAGGTTTGTTTGGAAAATGTATTTCTGACCATCCTATTACCCAAGATATGGAGGATGGTTGTGGAGATAGATCACTCAGGTTTTAGAGAGATGCTCTTGGGCACTCTTATTTTTATGAGAATGTTGATCCTGGTGTCCAGTATTAACTCTGTAATCTAGTCATTAGGCCTAAGAATAGTTTACCCTGTTTTATTGACTACTTTGCTGAAATAGGAGAAAAGAGGGGAAATGCTCAAACAGCAGTTGCCATTCTTTCCCTTTTGTTCTTTTTTCTTATTATCAAGTTCACTGAGTGCAAAAGTAAATGAAGCAGTCTGTTCTTTGGAAATTGAGCACCTGGCTGAACCCTACTGTGCTGACCTTTGCATACTTAACAAAACATGCTCTTAACAAAACATGATTTAATTTTAATCTTTAAACTGAGTGAATAAACTGCAAGGAAAACATGATCCATGAGGTTTTCTTCTATATATTATCACCAGTCATCTAGATTATATTCATTCTTTGTTATTCTGGATTGAAGTTGATGTAACTACATCAGGCATGTCATTATGAATGGATAGTTTAAAGGTTTTGATTGTGGCAGAGAAGAACTTTGTCTTGGTCTTCTGACTGTCTAGCACAGTCAGAAGACTGTGGCAAACTTGCATCATCACGATGTTGTCATGTGATGTATCACAACTCCACCCCTCCTTTGTTAAACTGGGCATAGGTATGGCCAATGTGTGATGGATCTGGCCTGTGCGCTGCAAGTTTGACAGCCCTGGTCTAACACATAGCATATAGGAAATGTCTGTAAAGAGTCGCTTGACAGTCAGAATATGTGGCACTAAAAAAAGAGAGAATTAGCTTCTACAGTCTTATGTCAGGATTTAGGGTAAGCAGGAATTGTGAACATTCATATTTATATATGAAAGATTCACCTCAGAGAGATGGGTAGCATAAAAGTTTAATAATAAAAATATGTATTTTTATCCTGCCTTTTGTCCAGATAACAGGCCAATTACATAGGGCTCCTTCATCTAGTTTAGTCCTAGAATACTAACTTATGAAAGTTTATGCAGACAGAAAATAAATTGCCCAGTAAATTTCTGTGGCTGAAGATTTATTTAAATATTTAAATTTGGATTTCTATGGTTGTACCTCAACAACACAGGGAATACTCTCCATTACTGAAACAGACTAACAGATCCCATGGAGAGAAGACAAATAATACATACATAGCTAGTCAAAAGGCAGTTGAAGGGCTTTCAGGATGTGCTTGTTAGTACTACTAGTCTAGAGGTACTTCAGCTGTGGTCTGAGAAAGGTCACTGGTATACATTTACAACTAGCAATTTCCCCACTGGCAATAAAATGTGAAGCAGAATTGTCCATGGTTATGTTGGGGCATCTTTTAGATTGACAAAATCCAAAGCCTCTTTATTTATCCAACTGAACACACTAAATCTTCCAGTCTTTAAAATACTTTCGTATTTCCCCCCTTCCCTTAATATGATATTCATTTTCTGCAGAATTCAACACTTTTGGTTTGTGTTATCGTATAGTTACAAATTTGGTGTTTGTGAAGTGTGCCTTCAGACAATCATTATTTATGGTTTCTTCATCTGAACTCAACAATAACAAAAAGCACAAGAAATGCCAGCCATCTTTGCTCACTTTTTCAAACTGGTCAACTACTGCATGTCCTTCCCCATAGTTGCATTGTTCCATGAGTTAGCAAGTATTCCTTCCATTTCCACTCACAAAAAGAAATCCTAATAAGTTTATTGCATTCTCCTCAAGCACACACATATATTCCTGGTAAATTTAGCAGGAGATGCTTCTAAGGGAACAACTGCTAAAAGTATTAATGAAAACATTAAAAAGCTTCCAAAACTTTGTATTTAGTATGATGCTAGAACTTTGTTGCAGGACAAATTGGGAGGCATGTGATGCAGAACCACTGGACCTGTTTATTCCATCCCACTGTTTTTGCTTGCTGTTAGAGAACAGGTCACCACTGGTCATCTTCTCCTCAGCCCCCTCATATGTCTTGCCCTTTGCCTGTGTGTGGAGCATGTTCCTGTCACACATTTTTTTTTTGAACAAATTTTATTGATTTTCCAAAACAATACACAGACAAACAAAACATAAAATATAATGACATAGGAATTTTCTTTTTCTTAAAAAGCCAATACAACAACTTATTTAAAGACAGAATTATTCCAAGTTATCACATTTCCAAACAAGCACAATTTGATATATATATTTACCTTATCTGTTCATCTTCATATCTTATCCCAAACTTCTCTTTATTAGTTCTTTTCCTTCTATTTATTCAAATTATATCTCTTTAACTTTAGATTGTATACATTTTTTATAACACATTTGATGGACCATGGCCCTACTGTTTTCTGCAGTCACAGCTGCTCAGTAGACCTGTCACCCCAGTCTATTTTTTCACCAAATTAGACATACCCAGTTCCAGCAACCATTCTCTATATATTTTAGCCTCCAGTCACCTAATCATCTTTGTTGGTCTTCTCTGCTCTCTTTCTAGAGTCTCAACATCTTTTTACATCGTGGGGACCAAAACTGGATGCAGCATTCCAAGTATGGTCATTATAGGCATTATAAAGTGCTATTAACACTTCACACAATCTTGATTCTATCCCTCTGTTTAGGCAGCTTAGAACTATGTTGGCTTTTTTGGCAGCTGCAGCACACTGCTGGCTCATATTTAAATGATTGTCTACTAGGACTCCAAGATTTCTCTCACGGTTACTACCATTGAGCGAGGTACCACATATAATGTACCTGTGCATTTTGTTTTTCTTGCCTAAATGTACAACCTTACTTTTTTCACCATTGAATTTCATTTTGTTAGATAGCGCTCAATGTTCAAGTCTGTCAAGATCCTTTTGTATCTTAAACTTATCTTCTGGAGTGTTGGCTATTCCTGCCAGCTTGGTGCCGTCTGCAAATATAATGAGTTCCCCATCTATTCCCTTGTCCAAGTCATTAATGAAGATGTTGAAGAGTACTGGGTCTAAAACAGAACCTTGGGGTACCTCACTGCATACTTCTGTCCATGTAGATGTAGTTCCATTGAGTGATGCAGTTCCAGGTTGAGTGCAGTTGGTCAGCCAGTTACGAATGTGGGTTAGATGCTGTCTAACCCACATTTTTCTATTTTATCAAGTAGTAGTTTATGGTCTACTTTATCAAATGCCTTACTGAAGTCCAAGTAAATTATATTCACAGCATTCCTCTGGTCCACTAATTTTGTCAGTTAGTCAAAGAATGCAATAAGATTAGTCTGGCATGATCTGTTTTTGACAAACCCTTGTTGGCTTTTAGTTACTTTGCTTCTAGGTGTTTGCTGATTCGTTGCTTGATTATCTTTTCCAGAAACTTCCCTGGTATTGAGGTCAGTCTGATAGGTCTGCAATTTCCTGGATCTATTTTTTTCCTTTTTTGAAGATTGGAACTACATCAGCTCTTTTTCAGTCCTCTGGCAGTTCCTGGATGCTCCAGGATCTTTGAAAGATATAGTTCAATGGTTCTGAGATCTTGTCTGCCAGTTTTTTTAGAGCCTTGGGTGTAATCCATCCGGTCCTGGTGATTTGAACTTGTCTAGGGTAGGCAGGTGCTCACTTACTATTTTCTTCCCTATTTTAACTTGTGTTCCTAATCTGTTTTTTGTGGTGTTGTTTTTGCTAGGTGGGACTGTTTTTTTCCCCCTTATGTAAAGACAGATGCAAAAAAAAATGAGTTAAGTAGTTCTGCTTTCTCTCTGTTGCTTGTCACCTTCTTGCCACTTTTTCCCAGCAATGGACCAATTGTTTCTTTGACTTTTTTTTCTTGTTTTTAGCATGTTGGGAAAAGCTTATTTTGTTATTTTTTTAATTTTGTTGCAAGCCTTTATTCATTATGAGCCTTAGCTTACCTCACTTCATCTTTGCAGGCTTAGGCTATTTGCCAATATTCTGCCTTAGTTATGTGCCCTTCTTTCCACTTTTTATACTTGTCTTTTTTGTCTTTCAGAGGGTTCTCTAATGTAATCACTTCAAATGTGATGCTAGTGTTTAGTGAAACCATCATTTACTATATGTAAATGCTCATTGTGAGACTAGATAATTTAATTTGCCTATCCAAACTACTTGAAATTGCAAGGATCCTAATTAACAGCTCTTTGTGATCTGGGATATTGTCCCAGAAATTGGTGGAAAAACATTTAATATCTGTAACAAAAATGGTAAAGAAATAAGGAACAGATCTTGGGGTGGGTGACATTAGATTTAGTGACTTATTTTTATTTTACTTTAAAAAAAAAGTTATTCCATGTTGAATGGTACTCTGTATCGCCTTTATCTTTTATTTTCAATATCAATCTATCCATCTCTGCTCAATCCAATATTTTCTGAATTATATTTTCATCTGGTGGGGTGTTCTCATTTTTCCAATAATGCACAAATA